CTATTTTTGCATAGACTAATGTACAAAGCAGTGAAAATCATTAATAGACAATCGTCTGATGGGCTGAATTACACAAAACGCATGATCGCACCGGCTAGTCTGGTGCGCGTTGCTGTTTGCTAAAGATTTGTTTGATTTTTCAGTCGATATGCATGTTCATCGGCGAGCTCTCCTGTCTTTTCTTCTACATGGTCAGTCGGTGGATTCAAATTCGTCGCAGTCGTACCGGTTTCCTGGATGCTGGCGAGGGAAGCAGTATCAGTACGCTTCAGTCAGAGCAAATTTTTCCCAAATTCAATCCACTGGTGTTTGCTGCGCCAGCCTTTTGCGATGTTCTGGCCACATCGATCATGTACATTGGCCTGAACTTGACGCAAGCCTCTTCTTTTCAGATGCTCAGAGGTTCGAGATTTTGAAACCTCTATTGCAGCGAGATAATTTCCATTAGTTCTCATTAATTTAGTGAATGGATAAATCGAGTGTGCAAGTAAATCCCTGAAGATAAATAGTAATAGGGAATTTTAAACAGGAAAGATAGTAGAAGAGAATTTCTTCTTAAATGGAGGCAGAAGGGATGTTTTGGAGGAGTGTGGAATGAACGAACCCCCAAAAAGAGCCAAATATGAGCATTGGCTAACAATCTTGCGATACTGACTGGTCGTTTCTTTTGAGCAATATAAATCTAAATACATGATGGACCTGCATACCTAAAGTATACAGAGATTTATTTCACTTTTTGTCGATTCTCATATGACACGGAGGTTAAGAAGACTAAGAAGGATGAAATTTGTGGGGAGATCAATAAAAATGCAAACTTGTCCAATCACTTCGAATGCTTTGCCCAGCTACAATTCATACCTTGGTTCCCCATTTATGCAACTAGCAATTTTTACAGTTTTTTTGGCTATCGCTCTTGGTCTAGTAGTCAAACCCCCTGGCAATTCTGACATCATTTTTGCCTTTTAAAGTTGTCAAAAGCATAGCCGTCTTTCCCGATACCCGCAAATTTCAAGTTTTTCTTGGTGTTTGTTGAATACCCCCAATTGTTCAGTCACATTATACAGGTTTAATGC